CTCCATCTTGAATAGGAGCTGGTTAAAATAAGGCTAAGACCTGCTGGGCTGTGTTCCCAGACGGTTATGGCATTCTAAGTCACAGGATGAGATAAAACGTTAGCACAAGACATAGGTCATAAAGATCTTGCTGATAAAACAGGTTGCAGTAAAGAAGCTGACTAAAACCCGCCAAAACTGAAATGGCCACGAGAGTAACCTCTGGTCTTCACTGCTACCCTCCCACCAGCACCATGATAGTTTACAAATGCCATGGCAATGTCAGGAAGTTACCTTATGGTCTAAAATGGGGAAGTATGAATAACCTACCCCTTGTTTAGCATATAATTTTTAAAAAACACATGAAAATGGGCAACCAGCAGCCATCAGGGCTGCTCTGTGTGTGGAGTAGCCTTTCTTTATTCCTTTATTTTCTTTTTCTTTTTTTTTTTTTTGAGACGGAGTCTCACGCTGTTGCCCAGGCTGGAGTGCAGTGGCGCGATCTCGGCTCACTGCAAGCTCCGCCTCCCGGGTTCCCGCCATTCTCCTGCCTCAGCCTCCTGAGTAGCTGGGACTACAGGCGCCCGCCACCGCGCCCGGCTAATTTTTTGTATTTTTAGTAGAGACGGGGTTTCACTGTGGTCTCGATCTCCTGACCTTGTGATCCGCCCGCCTCGGCCTCCCAAAGTGCTGGGATTACAGGCTTGAGCCACCGCGCCCGGCTCCTTTATTTTCCTAATACACTCGCTTTTACTTTCCTCTATGGACTCGCCCTGAGTTCTTTCTTGTGCAAGATCCAAGAACCCTCTTTTGGAGTCTGGATAGGGACCTCTTTCCTGTAACACCCTTAGCCTCCATGTCAACATATTTTGTTCATTTCTAACCTTAAGTGGCACATTAGGGGCATTTCATACCCTCGTGAGGGACTCATGGTTACTTCCTCATTTCCAAACACTCTTTCCTGGTTCTCCTCTTGACTTTCCGACTGCTCCTTGTCTTTTTTTGTTAGTTTTTTCCATTATTCATTCATTTATTCCATATTACAAGTATTTAGGGAGCACCTACTCTATGTCAGTACCTCTCTAGGTGCTATGGTCTAAAACTCCTGCTGTCATGGGGCTTATAGTCTAGTGAGAAGTGGTGGGGAAGAAACAGCAATACAACAATTAAGAGACTGAATTGTTTGCGGGGAGTGCCAAAACCCAGGATGGAATGATATATTTAAGGTGATAATTGCTATGAAGAAAAATTAAGGAAGGGCCAGGCATGGTGGCTCATGCCTGTAATCCCAGCACTTTGGGAGGCTGAGGTGAGAGGATTGCTTGAGCTCAGGTGTTCAAGACCAGCCTGGGCAACATATGGAGACCTTGTCTTTACAAAAAGAAAAAGAAAACTAGCCAGGCCTGGTGGCACATGCCTGTGGTCCCAGCTACTTGGGAAGCTGAGATGGGAGGATCGCTTGGGCCTGGGAGGTAGAGGCTGCAGTGGGCCATGATTATGCCGTTGCACTCCAGCCTGGGCAACACAGCAAGACCCTGTCTCAAAAAAAAAAAAAAAAAAAAGAAAGAAAGAAAGAAAAGGAAAAAAAAGAACAGGTGGATAATAACGAAAGGGCTGGTATATGTCATTCTAAACTGGATGGTCATGGGAGGCCTCACTGAGAGGTCAGCATGTGAGGAAGGCTATGATGGAGATAATGGGGTGATCCATACAGATCTGTGGAAAACATCCAGGTCTGTGGAAGAACCTTCCCAGCAGAGAAACTAGCAAATGCAAGGCCCTGAGATGGGAATGTGCCTTACACATTGGAGGAACAGTGACAAGGCCATTGTGGCTGAGGCAAAATGATTGCTGGGAGATGAGGCCAGAGAGCATGTGGAATTAGTTTGATTCAATGTACGTGGAGCCTAGGAAAGGTTTTTTTTCAATTTGTTTAATTTTCTCCTTGCAACAGGAAGCAAGGCATCAGCTATGTATGAGGATGTGGAAGGAGACATGGAGAGAGAGAAGAAGGTCTAGCAGCCTTCCGAGAGAGTAGGAGACTGGATAGAAAAACGAGACTGGTATGTTTATCAGGACATAGAATGGTCAGATGGCATCTGCAGCTCACAGCCATGGAGTTTACGAGATCTGTCAGAAGGGCTGTGTGTTTTTCTCTAGCGCCACCGAGCTGCGTGGGTGCAGGCATGGAGTTGGTAGAATTGGACTCAGCCCAGGCTGGGGTTTTGCCAAGTGAGCACCACAGGGTGAGGAAGAGGCACAGGAAGTTGAGACAGATGCAAGGGAGTGACTCTAATGATTATCCAGGAAATGTCAGCTGGTATGGACATGAATGGCAGGTCCCAGTGGGTCAAGGGATTGTTGAAGCTCAAAATGAGAATGACTAGAAAAATAGAAGGAGCTGGTTGGAGAAAGTGTGGCTTAAAACTAGGATTGTAAAGAGATGGCTCAGGGTCTATTTAGAACTTGCTATGCAATGTGGGAGCCACCAGCAATGTGTAACCTTTGACCACCTGCAATGGGACTAGTGCGAATTGAGACATGCTGTAAGTGTAAAATACACACCAAAATCCCACGACTTAGTGCCAAAACAGTAAAATACCTCATGAATAATTTTTAAGGCCTGGCACAGCAGCTCATGCCTGTAATCCCAGCACTTTGGGAGGCTGAGACAGGTGGATCATCTGAGATCAGTAGTTCGAGACCAGCCTCGCCAACATGGTGAAACCTCGTCTCTACTAAAAATACAAAAATTAACCAGGCATCGTGGTGGGTGCCTGTAATCCCAGCTACTTGGGAGGTTAAGGTAGGAATATTGCTTGAACCCGGGAGGCGGAGGTTGCAGTTGAGTCGAGATCATGCCACTGCACTCCAGCCTGGGCAACAAGAGCAAAAATCCATCTCAAAAACATTAAAAAAATAAATAAATAAATAAATAAATAATTTAAAAAATAGTGGTTACACCACTAGTAGTTACATGTTTGGGTATGTAGACTTACTCATTTATTTTTTTCTTTTTATTCATTTATTTTTACTTTTGGCCAGGCACCGTGGCTCATGCCTGTAATGTCAGCACTTTGGGAAGCTGAGGCGGGCAGAATCACTTGAGGTCAGGAGTTCGAGACCAGCCTGACCAACATGGTGAAACCCTGTCTCTACTAAAAATACAAAAATTAGTTGGGTGTGGTGGTGCACACCTGTAATCCCAGCTACTCAGGAGGCTGAGGCAGGAGAATCGCTTGAACCGGGAGGCAGAGGTTGCAGGGAGCTGAGATCACGCCACTGCACTCCAGCCTGGGCAATAGAGCAAGAGAAAGTAATGAGGTTGTGTGACCCAGGGCAACAGATGACTATGTAGGATGGGCAGTAGTTATGTAGTTTAATTACATGACATTCAAAACTGGGGGATTTTAGGAAGGAGGCAGGGAGAATTGTCTGGATGTAGCAATGAGAGTTCAAAGAGATATCTGTTCCACATTCAGGGCTATGGGGAAAACATTGCCTGCCATTTGGCGGCGGGTGCCGAGGAGATGTGTCCTCAGGGATGATCCAGGTTAGAGTAAGAAGGAGAGAGGACTCTCAAAAAAAGAGGACTGCTTGCTGAAAAGGGCCTACGTGCTCTGAAGGCACCCTGGACCGGTTTTCAGGAGGCGAGCCAGGGCCCAAGGTTTAGCGGGAGCTAGGAATTTAGGGCTTCTTCCCATGAGTGACATTCTGGGGTTAATAAAAGGGACTTAAAATTAGCTCTGGTGGTCTCCAAGCGAGCAACTGTGGGCAAGGCACTCCTACACTCACAGTACAGGAGAAGTGGGAGGAGTAAGCGTCCTTTCTTCACCGCTGGCAGAGACGCGGAGGTCTGGGGAAGAGCAGATGTGCCTTGCATCTGAGTAAGGGTGACTTTTACTCAGAAAGTGCATACCTCCCACTTCCACCTATCCAGAAAATGCTAGAATCCAGCAAAGCCCATATCCTAGCCCTCTCGACTGTTCATGCAATATTTGATAGGATAGGTGATTTTTTTTTTCCAGCCAATAACAGCTTCAAATTGCTATGTGAAGGCAGATGACTCATAAATGTGGATCTTCAGTATAATTTTCTGTTCTCTGCCTTGGACCTGGATATCCTACTGCCCATTGTACGCCTACTCGTTCTCAGTACGTCCAGAATGAAACACACAATCTCACTCCCAGACGTGTACTTTTCAGTGGAGAGTACCACGCTCCACATAGGTACCAACCAGAAGCTGGGATGGGCCTGTGGTGTCTCTTCCTCTTTCTATCCTACTCTTTCTGTGGACGAGTTCATGTCCTACAAAGCTCTCTAATCCAGCCACTTTTGTCCATTTCCACAAATCTCCTCCCTTCCACCTCGAGCTCTACCAGAACCTCTTAATTGTCCTACACACATCTGCACTGACCCCTCCTGTGACCCTCCACACTGTCCCTAGGGTGACACTTCCAAAATTCCCAAGTCTCTTCGTGCCCCTCTTTTCAACCCAAAACTCTGCAGTGGTTCCCCATTGCTCTCAGGATCAAGTTGAAACCCTTTCACATGCTCTGCAACCTCTCTGCACCCACCTGTCCAGCCTTTCCTCAGCCTGTGCCTCCGGTGAGGAATCTCCCTCTTGACATGCCAGCTACACCTACCTGCCTTTGGGTCTCCAGTGTGCGCACAGCTGTCACAGGGCTGTGCAAACACTTATCCTTTTGCATGGAATGTCTCTCTCCTCCCACTTTGCATACTTAACTTCTACTTATTGTTCAGATCTCTGCTTGGATATCCCTCTACCGAACTCCCCAAACAGGTCACATCTCCCACGTATAGTTTCTACCAGATGCATCCTATTCCTTTCTCTTGAGGTTCCTGTAACGGTTACAGTTTCACATTTGTTTGTCATTATTTGATTAGTGTTTTTCTCCCCTAGGAGACCCTCCAAAGGCCTGAACTCACCAAGGGCTGAGATCATGCCTGTCTTTGCTCATTATTATGTCCCCAGCACCTAGCAAACTGTCCTGCACATAGTAGGTGCTCAATAAATGTTTACTGAATACATGAATGAATAATTAGTGATGCAATAAAGGTCCTTAAGCTTTACCAAATACAGGGCCTGCCTTGATCTAGAGTGAGATTTCAATGGTTCTGGAACTCAGTTTCAGTCAGCAAATGTATAGAGCAAACGCACTGGGCCCTCCTCCACTATTCTTAGGCACACTGGAACGACTTTGCTGGAACCAGGGAGCTGGCTGAATGGCATGAGTGTCTTCTGGTAGCATCTCACACTTGGGTACAAAGGCCTGTCTACTGGCTTGCTCAGGCATGTTGAGAGTCCGAGTCTGCTGTTGTTGGTAGACCTTAATGGGTCCACCTGTTCCCTTTTTCTGAGACAGTGTCCATTGGCTACATGGGTCACATCTCTGGGGGTGGCATAAAGGGCAGCCTAAGGAAGCTTGAGCAAGCTCTGAGGGTGGCTGAGAAGCACCCACTTACTGTGTCAGTTCAGCCTAGCAGGTTTCTTCATATGAAGCCCACCTTATTAAAGGAAGTGGAGGTAGGGGAGCAACTAGAAGCAACTAGTACTTGTCACCTCAAGCAAGATGGGTTATCTACCTACATTCAGCCTCCACTCTGCAGTGTTTACTCCCACCAGTGCCTTAGTCGACTATTTTCAGTGACAAACACTCCAGCTTCAGGGCCAGGCTCTCTGATTTTGGCTTCCTCTGGGTGCAGGAAGGATGAAGGCAGCTGATGCTCCACTAGCGGCTGCCTCGGTGCCAGCAACCTGGCTGTGCTGCTGTTGGTGCCTTGGGTCTTTTTTCCTGTCCGCCCTTCTCTGCTCCCTTGGTTGCTGACTCCTCGCCATCTGACCATCTGCTTCGCTCTGCCCCTTCCACCCACCACACATTTCTGGCTGCTGACGCTTGCTGGCCCAGCCCTTGGGATGAGGGGACTCCTGCCTTCTGCTTCTCTGACCTCTGCTCCCTGGATGCCTTACGTTGATTCTCGTTCTGTGGTCCTGGAATCTTCACTGCTGCTTCTGATCTGGTGGGATAATAATGAGGTTACACGGTGAGAAGGCCATCCAGGTTCTGTAATTAGTAACCACACCAAGCCAGCTCTATTGGGCGGGTGATTAGAACATTTTTTTTTTCTAACCGTAACACTTATTATACTAAAACTATCTACTTAAGTATTTCCCACCCCCCCTAGATGGAGAGTTTCTTGAGGGCAAGAACTGAGTTTATTTTTATTGATATCCAGAGTGCCTGGAATATAGAAGTTAATTGGTAAATGTTGGCTGAACTGAGGTTGGGAATGGGAGGGAAAGTGTATAGGGGATGATGCTCTGATGTCAGCCTCCTGGGCTGACCCTGAAGAAAGAAGGAATACTAGGCATTTGTGGTTGTCACTCCCACCCCTCTCTTGGGGGAGTGGCCCTTGGACAGGGCAGGAGGCTGCTCAACCTTGGCCTTGGCTGCAAAGATCTCTGGGTCTTGCTGTGTGCTTCACCCTAATCTCATCCTGATGCCCGCCCAACCCATCCATGGTTCATCACCCACCGGGTCTGCAGTCCCTCCAGGGAGAGATTCTTTTGTACTAGCACGCAGGCCAGTGGGATGAGGGGGGCAGTAAATCTGGTAGCAAGTGGGAAGCCGCAGGCCGAGTGCACACAGTACTCAGTGCAAGGCAGGTGCTCCGATATCAGGAAAAAGATACAATGGCTCTTTCATTTCTCTCTCTTTTTTTTTTTTCAGATTATAAAGTAATACATGTTCACAGGGACAAAATACAACAGTATAAAAGCCTTCTGTCCTCCTCTATCTACTCCCTAACATTAACTACTGTTAACAATTCTTTGTTATTTGTTTATTTTTTTTGACACACAGTCTCATTCCTTCGCCCAGGATGGAGTGCAGTGGCACGATCTCGGCTCACTGCAACCTCTGCCTCCTGGTTCAAGCAATTCTCGTAGCTGGGATTACAGGCGCACACCACCAACCCAGCTTATGTTTGTATTTTTTCTAGAGACAGGGTTTCTCCATGTTGGCCATGGCTGGTCTTGAACTCCCAGCCTCAAGTGATCCGCCCACCTCAGCCTCCCAAGGTGGTGAGATTACAGGCGTGAGCCACTGAACCTGACTGTACTGTTAACAATTCTTGAAGTCTTCACGTATACATATGGCTTGCATATACAAAATGTGTGTATGTGTTCACATGCAGATAGACAGATACATAGACAGAATTTGATGGTGTCATGAGACAGAAAGAGAAAATGGTGGCCCACAGGTATAAAGTAGGGGTGTTGGGGTGAAGGCAGACTTGAAAGGGGCTGTTGATGGGCGAGGTAGGAAGGCCTGAGGAGAAGTGATGGAATACAAGGATAGAAGCAAGAATGGGGCAGGAGAGTCTTAATATTTGTGTTGCAAAAAATTTTTGCAGTTTAGAGAGTGAAAAATCCAACATCCAGTTAGCCTGTTTCCTTAAATTAAAAATGGGGTAATGATGTATATTCCTCACAGGTTTATAGTGATGATTAGATGGGGCTAATATATATATATATATATATATATATATATATATATATTTGTTTGTTTGTTTGTTTGTTTTTTGAGACAGAGTCTCTATCTGTCACCCAGGCTGGAGTGCAGTGGTGCTATTTTGGCTCACTGCAAACTCCACGTCACAGTTTCAAGTGATTCTCCCATCTTAGCCTCCTGAGTAGCTGAGACTACAGGCACACGTCACCACACCCGGCTAATTTTTGTATTTTTAGTAGAGATGGGGTTTCACTATATATCGGCAAGGCTGGTCTCGAACTCCTGACCTCAGGTGATCTACCCACCTCGGCCTCCCGAAGTGCTGGGATTACAGGCATGAGCCACTGTACCTGGCCAGGGCTAATATATTTACAGTGCTTAGCACTGCACCTCAAACAATATTCTAAGCATTCTCTCAGCGTGTGCTGCTATTATAGTTGTTGATGTTATTATTAGGGTGCTGCTATTGTTGCTGTTTTCAGAATGCTTCACGTGGTGCCTGGCCTATGAGGGAACCTCTATCCATCTGCAGTTGGCATATGGAAAGAACCTCCTGGTTGCATTTCTCTTTCCATTTTAGAAATCATTTTTTTGTCGTGACACTGTCTTTTCCTTTTCCTTCCATGACCGCTCTTAACTTGGTACTTTATGCTGTGCACTCTTGAAGAAAACTTGCTGGTTCCTGATGGTTATAAATCCTTGGAGGTGCGTGGAGATGTTTTAGGTAGTAAAGGGCAGTGGCCATTTTCTCACTGTCTCCCTGCCCTGGTCTTAAGCTGTTGGACATTCTTTAATCAGGAACTTATTTGCTGTACTTCGCACATACTGCCTAAGGATATCAATTAGAATTGCTTACTTAAGAAAAATGCTCAGTCATTAAGACCACTCTTGTTCATTTCCTGCATTTTTTTTTTTTTTTTTTTTTTGAGACAGAGTCTCACTCTGTTGCCCAGGCTGGAGTGCAGTAGCGTGATCTTGGCTCACTGCAACCTCCGCCTCCTGGGTTCAAGTGATTCTCCTGCCTCAGCCTCTCCAGTAGCTGGGACTACAGGCTCCCGCCACCTCGCCAGGCTAATTTTTGTATTTTTAATAGAGATGGGGTTTTACCATGTTGGTCAGGCTGGTCTCAAACTTCCGACCTCAAGTGATCTGCCTGCCTTGGCCTCCCAAAGTGCTGGGATTACAGGCATGAGCCACTGTGCCCAGCTTATTGTCTTCATTTTAAGAGCATTGACTCTGCTGCTCCTCTTGAGACATCTTGGGCAGTGATTCTGTTCTTCTGGGATACTCTGGGTGTCTCTACTTGTATTTAGAATGGCTGGCTTAAAAGTCTTTGTTTGAATATTCTGCATCCTGAATGCTCTTAGTTGTCAGTAAAACTATGCCTGCCTACGCACTCTTCTATTTCTGATTTATAAATAGGTTCAGCTGCCTAACAATTACACATACTCTATTTTGCACACACACATTACTTAAGGAGACATTTAGAGGATAGATGGCTTTTATTCCTATGAAGTTATCTGGAAATCATCTTCTTAACTATCTTTTTTTCCCCCAAAGGGGCCATAGTTTGAAGGATTTGTGATGAGACTTTTGGTCTGTGAAGCCCAAGACACAATCTCCAACATGCACAGGAAATCCAGTATCAAATTTCTAACAGGTCTTCAGAGACAGGCCCAGGACTGGCTTGAGCGTGTCAGAGAGGTGTGCGCTGTCTACTTCCCATCATACATGGCCACACATGCCTGTGGCTGTGAGAAATACTGGTGGTGACAAAGACAATGAGATGCCAGAGAAAAAGATCAGTGGGGTTTGCGAAGGTGATTAGGATGTCGTCTTAGGTATAATTAAGGACTTAATAAGGTTGAAGGAAAGAGAGGACATTACAAATACCAAGGCCCCTGAGAGATGTGCCTGGCAACCCAGAAAGGGACATATGGGGGAAAACGCCTTAGTGTAACCGGGTCAGAATTTTCATTCTGGGCAGAACTGGAATTTGAATAATAATACTGAGTCATATACAGCATACAGCTATGACATTTCATTTATTTCTCCATATAATGCAATAAAGTAGATGGATTAACCCTTGACTTTTACAGACGGAGCGGAGGAGAATGAAGAGGCGTCAGTTTGGGCATCAGGCTGGATCTTCACACTCGGACCTCACTCTGCTCTATCCTGCCCAGTGTTGCTTCAAGGCAAAAAGATTTGACACCAGTTTCAGTTTAGATCCTGCCTCTACCTGGGTGTGACCCGGGTCCATCTCCAGCTCGGCCTCTGCTTTCTCTTCATAAACTTTTGGTGTTAGTCTTCGGATGATCTCTAAAACATGGCCCAGGTGTTCCTTGCCAGTAGAGTGTAGTCAGATTTGGAGGGACTGGACACTCAGGGTGAACAAGAGGAAGGCCTCAGGAGGCAGTAAAAGCTGACAAGAGGAGATAAAATGAAGCGCCTAGGGATGCATATTGGACTAGCGGGCGAAAGGCCATGACTCCTTAGTTTGCAGATAGTGAGTGGGAAAGAACTGGGGCCGAGATTGGGTAAGTTTCCCAGCGCAATTAAAAAAAAAAGAAGAAGAAGAAGAAGAAGAACTAGAAGAATTACCCGGGTCCGGCCTCTTTCGCGTAGCCTGGGGCTGAGTCGCAGGCTGAGAAATCTGGTCGGGCCAGTAGGGGGCTCCACCAAGCGCAGTCTCAGAATGCCCAAGAGCCCCACCGTCGCCCGGGGTCTTCTAGAGGAGTGGGTAGTGGTGGGCGCTGAAGAGCTGTAAAAGACTAGCAGCCCGCGTCCGCGTCCGTCCTCCCGGGTCCCCAGTCCGCAGGCGGCCGCCGCCTCGGCCCCGCCCTCCCACCTCCATTCCCGGCCCTGCGGGCCCGAACGGTCCCTCTCGCAACCGATCCTATGGCGGGGGCGCGGAGGATGCGAATTCCTAGAAGCCTTAAGAGGCTGCCCAGCGTTGGAAGTTCGTATCCCCGAGAATGCTGGAGGTTCCAGCTCACACACCCGCTCCGGGCACAGAGTCAGCTGGGGGGTGCTGGGAGGGAGAACGCCCCGCTCCTCATCCCCCATCCTTGTGCACCCTGGAGCCCAGCTCCATACGTTCGGCCACCCCAGGCGGACTCGGAGGTGGTCGGGTAGCGGGTGGTGGCGGGAGGGGACCGGGTAACTGCAGGCCGGAGAGGAGGTCGCTGGGCCGGGCCGGAGGCGCACAGGGGCTGCGTGGCTACCTCTGCGGCACCCGCCCCACCTCCGCCGGCTAAGCCCGGAGGGGGACGGTGAGTCAGATCTCGGGCACCCGCGGGTCGGGCATGGGGGGAGGGCAGGTCAGGAAATGACATCAGAGGCCTGTGCTCAGGGAGCGGGGGTCTGAGCCGGGCCGGGGCGGCGGGGGCGGCAGTGAGTGGAGTGGGGTGGCGGCGGGCGGACCTCGGCGGAGCCTCTGGCCTGAGGCAGGATCAGGGCCCCTTCCTGGGGGAGTTTCCTGCCTGGTCCGCCCTTCCCCGCTCTCCCCGCCCCCTCTCCGGGCCGCTCCTTGTATGGTCTGGGCGCCGCTCTCTCCCCGCCCCCTCCCTCCTCCCTCCCTCCTCCTTCCGTGTGTCCCTCCCCGCCCGGCTGGAGGCTGCTCCGGACTGGGACGCAGAGTCCGTGGACCCGGCGCCGAGGAGGCCACCCGAGACGCGGCGCGCACGCTCCGGCCCGCGGTGAGGTGCGGGGAGCGGCAGGGCGGCCCCACGGGGAGGGGGCGCGGGGCGCCGGGAGGGGGCGCATGGGGGTCGCCAAGGGGAGCTGGGACCGCCCGGGGCTCCTGAGCCGGGCTCTGCGCTGCGTAACCCGGCGACCCACCCCAGCAGCCCGGCCCGGCCATGGCGGCCCCCCGCCCGTCTCCCGCGATCTCCGTTTCGGTCTCGGCTCCGGCTTTTTACGCCCCCCAGAAGAAGTTCGGCCCTGTGGTGGCCCCAAAACCCAAAGTGAATCCCTTCCGGCCCGGGGACAGCGAGCCTCCCCCGGCACCCGGGGCCCAGCGCGCACAGATGGGCCGGGTGGGCGAGATTCCCCCGCCGCCCCCGGAAGGTATGCGGCGGGGCTTGGGGGCTGGACCCCAGCGGGCGCCGGAGGGGGGGCACTGTTTCGGGAATCTGGGGATGTCTGGAAAGGTTGTTGCCTAGGGGGCTGGGCGCAGCCACCCTGTCCCGAGCAGATGTTCTTACCTCATCGTGGAGCTCGTGGCTGGGAGCCAGAGCTCCTGGGACCGTTCCAAGTCCCCCGCTTGGGGGTGGGAGGCGGGAATGTGGGGCACGAATCTTCCCCTCCGGGTCCGTTTTCCGAAGTGTAACGGGAGCTGCACCACTCCTCGGCCGTGCCCCCGGCCTTTCCTGACCTGGTACTCCCAGGGCGCCCTGCGCCCCGCCTTTGCGTCCCCACACGCTCTGGGACCCTCGAGAGAATTCTTGGGTTAGGGGTTAGAGCGGTAAACCGAGGGGAGCTTGGGTGAGGGGCAGAGGGACCCCGGGCGACGTCTTTCTCCTTCCTACCCCAGACTTTCCCCTGCCTCCACCTCCCCTCGCCGGGGATGGCGACGATGCGGAGGGTGCTCTGGGAGGTGCCTTCCCGCCGCCCCCTCCGCCGATCGAGGAATCATTTCCCCCTGCGCCTCTGGAGGAGGAGATCTTCCCTTCCCCGCCGCCTCCTCTGGAAGAGGAGGGAGGGCCTGAGGCCCCCATACCGTCCCCACCGCAGGTATGGAGGCCTGGGAGGGGCGGCTGTACCGGACACCCCCAAGGCGAGGAGAAGAGGGCCCTTTCTTACCTCCCCTGCACCTCTGCCTTGGGGGTGGGGGGAATGGAGGCATGGAATAGGTGCTCTGACCTCTGACCCTCTAGCCCAGGGAGAAGGTGAGCAGTATTGATTTGGAGATCGACTCTCTGTCCTCACTGCTGGATGACATGACCAAGAATGATCCTTTCAAAGCTCGGGTAAGGGACCGCAAAGTAGGAAAAGCAGGGCCCAGGGCCAGAGAGACAGGGGATAGAGCTATGGAGGATGGTGTCCTCCTGTCTGCATCTCTCTTCCCTCTCCCACCCCTTGCAGGTGTCATCTGGATATGTCCCCCCACCAGTGGCCACTCCATTCATTTCCAAGTCCAGTACTAAGCCTGCAGCTGGGGGCACAGCACCCCTGCCTCCTTGGAAGGCCCCTTCCAGCTCCCAGCCTCTGCCCCAGGTTCCGGCTCCAGCTCAGAGCCAGACACAGTTCCATGTTCAGCCCCAGCCGCAGCCCAAGCCTCAGGTCCAACTCCATGTCCAGTCCCAGCCCCAGCCTGTGTCTTTGGCTAACACCCAGCCCCGAGGTCCCCCAGCCTCATCGCCAGCTCCAGCCCCTAAGTTTTCTCCAGTGACTCCTAAGTTTACTCCCGTGGCTTCCAAGTTCAGTCCTGGAGCCCCAGGTGGATCTGGGTCACAGCCAAATCAAAAATTGGGGCATCCCGAAGCTCTTTCCGCTGGCACAGGCTCCCCTCAACCTCCCAGCTTCACCTATGCTCAGCAGAGGGAGAAGCCCCGAGTGCAGGAGAAGCAGCACCCAGTGCCCGCACCGGCTCAGAACCAAAACCAGGTAAGGGATGGTGATAGGACAAGGCTTGGGACCCGGGTGCTGGGGCGGGGCTGAGTCAGGAGCCAGAACAGAAGCATGAAGGTGATTGGAGAGTCAGGGTGGACACGGGGGTGGCGGGATAGGAAGTTTCATCCTCTGAGGTTAGCCTGGTGGAACAGTGGTAAGAAAATGCTCTTCTGGAGGAGAGGCCTGGCTGGGTGTGGGGCTGGGTGGGGCCTGGCTGGGAGGGCACAGAGAGCACAGGCTCTGAATTAGGAGGATCTGGTGGACCTTTCCTTGCGCCTTTACTCCAGAAAGTTAAAGGGAGGGATGAGATCACCAGTCCCACCTTGGTTTTTCCCATTCTTGGGTCTTGAGTTAATCTCCCTGCTCCTCTGAGCACTCTTTCTGCCTGAGGGCTTGGAGATAAGAGTCAGCCCCAGTAAACATTGGCTGAGCCAGCATCTACCACGTGCCAGGCACTGTGCTCTGTGCTCAGGAGGGTGGGACATGGGAAGGACGAGATCTCTGCAAGAAGCTCAGCCTTCAGGTGTCAGATGGACCTGGAATGGAATTCCTGGTTCGGGCTTCTCCCAAGCCCTTAGACTGGGCAAGTTAGGTGAACCCTGAGCCTCAGTTTCTCAATCTTTAACATTATCTACTCCATACAGTGGTTGTAAAGATTAGGTGAACTAATAACCTAGAGAGTGTTGGGTTCTGTATCTAGCACATGAATGCTCAAAATACAAAAGCTGTACTTACAAAATGGTTCTTGCCTTCTAGTTCAGGAAATAAGACCTTCCAGTTTCTGGTGATGATGATGCTGGTCCAAGCATCCATAGAGTCCACTGATAGTGTGGATGTCTACTTACACTCAGACACAGCATAGGAAGAAATGCCAAGGACCAGTGAGCTTTGCAGAATCCTGTGAGTCACAGGCACTCAGACCAGGAAGTCCACTTGGGGCCTGGCAAATTAGGAGAGGCTTCGAAGGATGGGCAGGACGTAAGAATCCGGAGAGGAGAGGGATGTTTGGAGAGCAGAAAGTGGAAGGTTCCTGTAGGAAAATGATGGAGCTGTACTTGGAGAGGCAAGCGGGGCTGGAGGGCGTAGGAGGTGAAGTGGTTCACCCAAGGAGCTCTTGAGCACTGGAGAGGCATTCATGATTTTTTTTTTTTTTTTTTTTTTGAGACGGAGTCTCGCTCTGTCACCCAGGCTGGAGTGCAGTGGCCGGATCTCAGCTCACTGCAAGCTCCGCCTCCCGGGTTCACGCCATTCTCCTGCCTCAGCCTCCCGAGTAGCTGGGACTACAGGCGCCTGCCACCTCGCCCGGCTAAGTTTTTGTATTTTTAGTAGAGACGGGGTTTCACTGTGTTAGCCAGGATGGTCTCGATCTCCTGACCTCGTGATCCGCCCGTCTCGGCCTCCCAAAGTGCTGGGATTACAGGCTTGAGCCACCGCGCCCGGCCACATTCATGATTTTTGAGTAGGTGCAGGGTGGGTCAGGAGGGCTGGTGAAAGCAGTGTTTTTGGAAGCTTTCTGGAAAGTTTCACCAGCAGAGATGTGTATTCGAGGGAAGTCAGTGATGGGTATGAGTTCACTTTTGGGCAATAGTAATATTAGCTGCAATGAATATTAAGCCCCGCATGTGAGAGCTGTGTGCCAGAGCTGTTGGGAAGGCACAGCCTCCAGGACTTAGCCAGGGATAAGCAACTGGAAGACAAGGGTGAGGGGAAGAGGAAAAACAAAGTCTCCAGGGCGATTTGGAGATTGGGGGTGTGGGCGGATGACAAGATTGCTGACAAAATAGAGAAGTCCAGAAGGGGAAATGGTTTGGACGGGAAGAGGAGGGGTCCAGCTGTCAGCGTATTGAGCAACAGGTCCCAGGAGAACTTTCAGCTGGGGCCGTCATTCAGTTAGAAATTCAGGGCCAGGTTTCAGGACAGGGCCAGAGATGTCTAGCATTGTAGTGGGACACAGTGACACTGTGACGCTGGAGGGTCAGGGTCGGAGCTGAGGAGCTTCCCAGGGAGTACAGACAGCAGGGACTGGGAGGTGTGGGAAGAAGAGTCAGGAGGAGAGTCAGGGTGCACTTGGAGAAGAGAGCTGAGCCCTTCAGCGGGGTATTTGAGGGAGTGAGGACTCAAGGCTAGAGATTAGACTGTTGGGAAATCGTCACCGGTCTTGGGATGGCCTGTTTGTGCCCTGTAGTGGGAACACAATGTGAGGAGTTGAGGAGAGAGTGGGTGGTGAGAAGTGGGGCTACTGGTGTAGCCTGGTCTTAAAGATTGGCAGGGAAAAGGACTAAGGGAAGGACTGTGTATCAGTGATGTGAGTGTGGTGTGTGTGTGTGTGTGTATATGCATATGTGAATGTATGAGTGGCGCATGTGTGTGAATGGTGTGTGTGTTAGTGTGTGGGTGTGGGTATGGTGTATGTGTATGTGAGTATATGTGCATGTGTGAGCATGAATGTATGAGTGGCATGAGTGTGGTGTGATTGTGTGAAAGTGTGTATATGAGTATATGTGTGCATGTGTGAGCTAAGGTGTGTGCATGTGTGAGTGGTGTGTCAGTGTGATGTGTATAGTGTGTCATTGTGTATATATGTGTATATATGTGTGAAAGTATGCATAAGCGAATGAGCACATACATTCATTGTATATATATGTGTGAATATGCACAAGCGAATGAGCACAT